AATCGTTGGTAGGTGCAAGATTAGGTGGGGCTGCGGGCTGCCGGCTGCATGTTTGACATATTTTTGGACTTGTTTTGGACTCGTTGTTGGCATCGACTTTTTCCAGTGCAGATTTGCCAGCCACTTCCACCTTTTTGGGAAGAGTTGTATATGTTTGAAAATCCCTTCAGCAAGTTAATTGACAACCAGGAACCTTTTTGTTGTTTGCCCAGTAGCGTTTTGAAACAAATGAGTTGGCTTCGCGCGGGTTCGTCAGCTTCTCATATTATGCGACGACCTTGCGAGAGCTGGGCTGACTTGACCCCGTCTCCAAGTGCTATTGGACATTCTTTCCAGCGGATGAGGGTCACAGTCGCTTTGCCGGAGCTGGAGGGGTCGTGCACAAAATGGAAACGGAAGAGATGTGGCCTTGGGTGCCCCCAAACGCCTTGGGTGCCTTCGGCGGCCTTGGGTCCCTTGCAGGCCCCCCTTCAAACAAGCACCTCGCGCCAGCCGCCCAGGCGCGGTTTTTGAAGTTCCTGATTCATTGACAACATGGTGATTCTCTGGCAAGGTTCATGTTAAAGTTCGGCTTTGACTGACCAAATCCAGGCAAACTCGGAGTTTGGTATGTCCATGTCGGACGACCTGCGCAGCCACTATTTAAGAGTTCCCAAGACCCAGACTGGAGGATATCGAGACTTAGTCATTTTCCCGGAATCAGCGGGACGCCTCGCAGCGAGGCTTGGCCCTGGTGGGGGTGGTGGGCCTCTTGGAGCTGAGCCGCGCGCCGCTGCTGCTGCGCCTGCTGCTGAGCTATGGCCTTGGGGCGCTGCTCAGCGCCCACGCGCTGCTGGCGGTCGGAAGGCCAGGCTCTGCGCTCGGGGAGGGTGGGGGTGGGGGTGGGGGGAGTGGGCGTTAGGTCTTGGTTGAGGGTGTGGGGCATGGCGGCATTTGCTCTTGCAGGGCAGTTGACGCACTAGTTGAAGCATATCCCCACACCCTTAAAAATGATTGCAGGGCCCCAAATGATTGCAAGCCCTTGCAATCATTTTCGGAAACGGTTCTTGCTAGAGTCCTTGCAAGGAGTATATGGGCTCCCCCTGTTTGCCCTCACCGTGCGCCCAACCACTTGGGCAATTGGTCCCATTTTTTTAAAAACAATGTTAGTTTAAGACTGCCCTGGTCCGAACAGATGTCAACACCCTATCCAATGCGGAATAGGATGGCAATGCAAGAATTGATTTCATGGCCAAGTTGGCCGACCGGAATCCATGCAAGAGCCCGAGCTTTTCATGGCTTGATGCGCTGAGTTTAAACACCCAGCCACATGATGAGCGCTTTCCGGAAAAGGCAAGGTTAAAGAAGGCACCACACCTCTTTCTTCTTTCGTAACCCTGGGCGGAAGCTGTAGGAGACCGAGGCCCACGATAAACGGCTGCTTCCAGCATCCAAATGATTAAACAGCACATGCGTGCCCCATGTTGGTTGGCTGAGAGACTTGTTGCCCAGGAACCAACCCAGGTTGTAGTGCGATGGCTGACAACGAACTTAACGCTGAAGCGCCGCACAAAGACCAAACGGAGATGGAGGACACTGCGCGGGCAGAGCTTGTCCAGGTAGAAGTCTTCATGTTTGGTGCGCGCGGCTACCAGAGGGCCCCATGCAGGGCCAAACGGTAGTTCGGAGCCAACTGCCGGTGTCAAGCAGTCTCAACCGTTGCTCCTGGTGTCCCGGCCTGGGCACACGGCGAGGGCGCCGCCTTGGTTCATACATGCTCGCAGCTGTGTCGTTTTTCTGGCATGCCAGATCCTCCCGATATGCAGCCCGGCTCTTTCCTCATTCGCCCACCTCTCGCGCTTGACTGGAACCTTTGGCTTCCCCTTGATGGCTGGCCCTCCGGTTTCCTCGCATGGGCAGAGAGCACCACGGCCAAGAGGACAACAAGCCTTGACAAATCTGGCGGCCAAAGCGGCCAAACATACACGAACTTCTGCCAACGCTGCCCTCGGCCGTCCAAGTGGGAAGGCGTTCGCCATTGTCCGTCCGCGCGCCGCAGCCTGGCCCTCGTCTTTGATGGGCTGGTGGGCCCTTGACGACGGCTGATGCAAAAAAAAAAAGCCTCCCACAAGGCAGAACCAACCCAGGCTCTGCCTGGACATGTGGTGATTCATGGTAACTTGATGAATCGAAGGTTGATTGCTGCTATGATCTGCAGTGACAACGATCTGTGCATAAGAGAGAGAGAGAGAGATCTATTCACAAGAGCAGGGCGCCTCTGTCAGGTTCCATGTACCTTGGTGAATATATAAGATGTTTCAAACTAATTTGCAATCATGAGTCTGGAAAATAGACAGCTTGAAAAAATATGCATGGCGACGCATCGGGTCGAATATTGAATATTCCCTGCCCCCCCCCCCCAAGATTGGAGCGGAAACTCTTTGAAACTTGCTCATGGGCACGGACCGTTGCTTTTCACTTCTCACCCTCAGTTTCTCAGAGGTTCCAGGGCCCCGGGCTACACGTATTTCTCAAAAGGACTTTGGTCCCAGTCCTCGATGCCCCTCATGTTGGTCTTGGCCTTGCTTAGCTACTTAGTTCCAACCTTGCAAACGCAGAGACCTCGAACAACTCCAATGCGAAACGTTTGCGTGGCTCCGGTGACCTTCTTGAGGCAGTCACCAGATGAAACCGCCGCCCCTCTCCCGCCGGCGGAGTCGGTGAACACGCTTTCGATCATACTGCCTTGTGCCAATGAGAGCTTCGTGCGGGAGACGGTGTTGTCCATTTGGGACACAACGCCAGCAGAGGAGCCGGGCGGGAACTCACCTTGAAGGTAGCCAAAGCTTGCTGAGATGCCTACCTTTACACGGAAGGGGGTGGGGCTCTGGTGATCATTCTTTCACTTGTACGAATCACTTGCGAAGTCCTTGCTTACGACAACCTTGCTTACGAGATTTGGCAGGCACTCACGGCTTGCAAGGAGCTGGTGGAGATAATCATTGTGGATGATGAGAGTGTGCCCCCAGTAGCTTCGACAGGTTTAGCAAGCGCTGCGCACCTCGTGCCCATGCAACCTAACACGTTTCATGTCACCTTGCTTCTCAACCGTCATCGCCTGTATTTATTTATTTTTTGCTAGCCTGGAAAAAGAGAGGCGATCAAGCCGGAGTTTACCACTGGTTGGTCCAGTGGTCCAATACTTGTGGTGTAATTATTTTTCAGCCTGCAAAATCTGAGCCAATGGGGCCACCAAATCCGAGCAAACCGTGTATTGTGCGGAGGGATGCGCCTTTGACACGTGACTGGCTGTTCGAAGGCGCCAATGCCTCGAGTTCTTCGGGTCTTTCGCCCCAGGTGGCCGAGCACCTGGAACGCAGCGGGGGTTTTCTCGGCAAGCACCGGGTCAGGGTCCTGCGGAACCCGAAGGGCGTGGGCCTCATCAGCTCCAAGCGCATGGGCGCAGATGCGGCGAAAGGGGACGCCGTGGTTTTCCTGGACCGGCGCCTTTTTTCCCCCCTGGGGGCCATGGAAAAGCCTCAGATCCAATCAAGGTTTGATTAAGAGCGAAACAGGGCGTCGAAACGGGGCGTCGATAGCGACCCGGCGAGTCGGTAGGATTGCCACGTGAAGCCCATGGCCAACTGGACAGCGCCGCTGTTGGAGCACCTTCGGGCCAACAGCCGGCGGGTGGTGATGCCCGAGATCCTGGGCCTCGATGTGGACACCTGGCAGGCGCATGGGGCGTGCTGCACCTGGGACGTTTGAGCACACTCTGTTGGCCCCAGCGCGTTTGGCTTTTTCTCCCTTGTTTCTAGTCGGCTATGTTTCCTGGCAGTCGGGAGGTTTCACCGGGAGAAGCGGCAAACGCAATTCAACTGAGCCCAAATACGTCTAGAACATACACTGCAAGCCTAGGCTGTCGAGCACCGGGTTGAAAAGGGGTGCACACGAATGTGCAGAGTATGAGCGCATGGCTGCATTGCACACATTAGGTACCCCCACCCAAGGCTCCTTTGATCAAGCAGGCTCAGGGCCGACTCTACGCACTTGTCAAGTTGGTGGCCACGCACTTGCTTACACCAGTCAACAGGATGCGCTCCGGCCCCGCGCGCCAAAAAACAAACAGAGGTGGGACCGCTGAGCAACAGGGTGCAGGTGATCGGATAGTGTTGTGCTCGGAACCAAACGCGTCCTTTTGCCAGAAGGGCCTTGGCAAGCTGCAGCATTGCTTGCAGGAACATGGCTCTGGCAGAGGGAGGGATGAACACCTCATACAGCTTTTCGTTGAAATGCTGTCTGCGGAAAGTGCAAGAGGGGATTTGCGCACTGGAATCGCGGCAAGATGAGCAGGGTAGAAACCAAACAGAAATTGGCCGCTGCATTGGTGCAGGAGATGCCCATAGGCACCATGGAGGGGGGCAAGAAGATGTGCCTGTCCTGGTCAGCGGACATGTTCTGGTGCAGCTCGGTGCCGGGAACCCGGCCGGAGGTGTTGGAGTTTGTAGCCCTGCTTGGTTGCAGGCAGATTCCGGGCAGGGAGCTAGCTGACTCGGGTTAGGTGCCTGGCCGGTGGCTGAAGAGCCTTCTGGGGTCATTTAGAATTTGAAGCAAGGCACTGTTCTGAATGAAAGATCGTATTTCTATGCTGCTCGTTTTTGAAACATGCCTCCGGAGCTTGGCAACGGCACGCTGGCCGCCTCCTTCCCGGCAAGTTGATAACTAGCAGTCGATTGACGCAAAGGAATTTGACTGTATGAAGCTTGGTCCCAGGGGTTTGCACGCGAAGCTTCTCGGCGCCCTTACCCGTTGGCTCACTTGAAGCTGTTTGTGCGTAGCTGTCTTGGCCCCCCCCAAGACAAACAAATGGAATGTGTTCTGGCCAGCCAACTCAGTGCTTGACCCATCCGCCTCACTCCCCGCAGGCTCTTGGGGATCTGAGGCAATTTGCTCCCTGGCCCAGAGGTCCCCATCTTGAGTGGCGGCCTCCTGGCGATGACCCGGAGCTGGTGGCGCGAGAGCGGCGGACGGGGCTGGGGTCGGGAACTGGGGAAATGGGGCGAGGGGAGCCTGCGCTCGAAGGCCAGCGGAACTGCCCATGTTGTCGCCATGTCCTTTTTTCCCAATGGCTGACCCTGGCACTTCGAAGGGGGGAGAGAGCACCAAAACGCGTGGCGCCGGCCAGGATACGACCCCTCCATGCGCTTCTGGGGCGGGGAAAACCTGGACCAGTCCCTGCGGACCTGGCTCTGCGGCGGGGAGATTGTATGGGCAAATGGCTCGCAGGTGGCGCACCCTGGCAGACAGTGGTGGAAGGGGGTGGGGGGGGGAGGGCAGCTGTGTGGTGAGCCGCCAGCAGCGCGGACTTGGATTCCCAAAGAGACGAGTTGAAGGTGACAGGGGAAGAAATTCCGATCCATTCTTGGTTTGGCAGCGCAGAAACATGATTGTGACCTGGTGCTTTGCCAACCCGGTGTGAGGGCGCGGGGGCGCACGGGCACAATCGAGCCTTTGCCGATTCGCAGAGGCGATGTTGTTTGTTCCTTTCATGGCAGCTAGCAGTCAGCGACATATCGTTGCCGTTAACTGCGAACGTGCAATCAGCAGCGCGGCCTGTTCTAAGTGGCTGCTGAAGCCAGTTAGAAAGGCTCAATGATGTTCAATGCCCTCGCACATCCATGACTTTGTTTCCTGCGCAGTTTGAGGGCACAAGCAGTAGGCGCGCTGTTTCTGGTCCAGACCGGCGCTCATGCCATGTTGATTGAAATACATGGTGAATATAATATAGTTTGATTGGACGTGTTCTACGATGCCCCCCCTGGAGAACAGCTGCTGCATTGCCCACGAGCCATTTGAATTGAAAAAGGCTCTTGTGCTTGCGGGGAGCTTTCTGAGGCACATGTACCGCGACCCCTCGAAGCCCAAGACGACGCTGCGTTACCACCTCCCGGAGGAGCCTCGAGCGGGTTGGGCGGTGGAAACGGGCTGGGCGAGCGGTGTGAAAGGAAAGTGCAGTGTGCTCGACGTAGGCGACTTGATTGTTTATGTTGTATTTAGTTGAATTTATGCTCGGCAGCTGGGGCCATTAGGCCCACCAGGAGAAAGCAAGATCCTGTAGGTTGTCAGCTAAGTGCAGTGGCTGTTGATCAGAGAGAAGCAGCAAAACTGGCCAGGCACGTGCGGGGAAAATGCAGGCTGTGAGAGCCCGAGCTGGCAGGTGTCTTCAACTCATTGCCTTTCCCTCGTTTCCCTCCACCGATGCGTAGGTCAGCTTTTTGGGTTATCAGAGGAGCACATCCTCCGCAACCGCCTGCGCGCGGCCACAGCCTGGATGGGCCCCTGGCTCCAAAAGGTGCAGGGCTTCCCGGCGCCTTGGCGGCCTAACCTGCCCTCCCGTGGATGTGCGGCAGCTGGAGAGGAAATTGATGGTTCCATCTTCTTTTTTGGGGGGGGCAAAGTGGATTACTTTTGCACGGGGACATCGACCTCTCCGCTTGTTCGAGTGTAAGGTGCGCCCCTCCACAACCACTTCATAGAATGGGGCCAGCATTGTCCGGGTAGGACTAGCTGCCAAGCCATGGCCATGTCGGCTAATGAAGTACAAACCAGTTGTATCGGATCGTTGAGAATTGGCGGTATGGATTGGTTTTCGTTTCAAACTCCATAGGCTGCGCAGGGCTCGGAGGGCGCCCTTGAAATCTGACGAGTATTTCTCGAATGTGAAGAGGAATTCGGGAGCACTTGGGCGCCTTAGCTGAGGAGTTCAGTAACATAGACGTGGGCAGCATGGACTACTTCGATGAGTTGAAGCAGCGGCTCAAGTGTGGTAGTTTTGTGGACTACATCCACAGGTTTGAGAAGCTCTTCTTCAACGCCGGCATGTTGCCAGAGACCGTCTTCCATCTGATGCTGGCCCGAAAAAGCTGTCTTCGGAAACGCTTTGACATTTGCGTTGCTGTTTGGAAGCCACTCAACACCGCTCAAAGCATCCCATTTGGAGGACGTGCAAGGGCATGTTGCATCCAGGAAAGATGCCAGCGGCTTGTGCCTCACCCTGGACCTGCACTCGGGGAAAGTCTATCTCTCCGATTGCATCGAGGGCTACGAGGGTCAGCGGTGGCATTATTCCAATGCATTCTCACGGGAGGACAGGGCCAGCCTCTCCATCAACCACCCGCCCACACATCAATTTATTACTACACATTTGTGTACATAGATGTCTCTCTTTTGTAAGCGCATGTTCATACCGACGCATTTGCTTATCCTGCATTTGTTGCATATGTGCTTATATGACTTTCACGGCACGTATTGTACATGCTCGCGCATATTCCCCATAAAGTAAATGACCATGTATGTGGCTTGGGCATTCATTCCACAGCCTGCCAGGACCTTGAGTGCTGCAGTGGCCTGAAGATTTGGAATGCCAACTTCTGCCTTGCTTGGTGCCTTGGAACGGGTTCTGACAGGGATGGCATTGGCCACGAAGGGCCCTCGTTTCCTCGCATGGGTCCAGGGATTTCCTTTGCCCTTTGAATCCGCCAGCCCAATCCACCGGGTGGTTCCGGTGGATGGTTTGAAGCCTTTGTCCGTTTGACATTTGGGGACTTCCGCGGCCTTCAGAAGCTCGGAAGAGCCCGCACTAGCACGGCAGTGCACACCTTGAAGAGCCCGACCCTGAGGGTTCTAGTAAAATGCCATCAGGCCATTGTTGTTTGCCGTTGCTTGGCTTCAGTCGTCACCCGCACAGGTTGCCAGCTGCCTTGTTGCCCTCTACGGTCTGTCAGCTTGTGCTTGTGCTTGTGCTTCGCCCTGATGGCGGGTGACATCACTTGGCAGAGTTAACCATGTTTGCAAACTGGTTTGGACACCTGGCTGCCCCACTCAGGTATGGCTCGCATTTGCTGACGCAGGACTGCGCCCTGCTCGGCAGCCAGTTCCAGGAGTTTAGCATCCAGGAGTTGCTCGGATCAGAAGTCCTTGGGGCAGGAGTTCGGCTGCGCTTGGAATACTTTCAGCCATGTTGGCAAGCACCCATGGCACAACCTCTTCATTACACAATCCCAGGCATGCATTTGGAAGCACGCGGACTCACATATGGGTCTTAGGCGTGCACGACAGCCACACTTTGTAGCCTGCCTGAGGGATGGCCTCATCTTGGCGCCCCACCTCGAGGACAAACAGCCTGACTACTGCTTGCTGGGCGCTGGTTCCCTAAGGGACGTCGCCTTCCTGTCAGGTGGGTCCTGGGCTCGGGCGGAAAGCAGAGGCATCCAAGAACCCATGTGCAGTCGGCAGAAGCATTTGCTTTGCACTGGATTCACATTATGTTAACCGTGAGATGGATTGACACCACAGCTTGTTATTGTCCTTGACTATACATACTATACCTTCTTTTTTTTTCCTCCCTCTCGCCTAACCACACACACAAAGCCCTAAACCCTAAACACGCCACATTCGTAAAGCAAACAAGTGACTCCCCAGACCAGAGAACGAAATAGGCCGGGACAATATAGCTCAATCTGCATCCTCCAATGAGCACAGCCCAACGAAACCCTTCTGGATCCTGTCTTTCATGATTTTTATTCGCGCGAGGCCGTGACAATAGCTTTGCTCGCCTGGAGCTGAGTGAGGGAACTTTGCGCCTGGTTTCGGCTTCCGGCTGCTTGGTCATCAAGGCGACGGGGGGGGCCGGGGGCTGGCGATGGGGTCACGGTTTGGGGGCGGCATGAGGAGCCAATGTACCACAAGGGCCCATCAGATAGTTGTCAGGTTTCCACCTGATCTCGGGATTACAATGCATGCGTATTGCTTGTGGTATGCATCTGCCCAAAAACGCAGCAGGGCCTGAGCGGATCAATGGTCGTCACTTGTCGCCAGGGGCAGCAGCTGTTCTGGGGCGACTGCAGCCGCAGCGTGCGGCTTGAGATCGTGGCAGATAGCGCCGGCCGGAAGCAGCTGGGTACAGGCGGCATGTGCCTGGATGCTGGCCAGGGCAACACGCCTATGCCCCTATGGTTGAAGACAAGGCGTTGTTTTTTGTTTTCATGTAGTTCTTCAGTTGCTAGGATACATTTTGGCAATTTGGTTTGTGTATGAGTCTTTCCGTCTCTACTCCATTTCCTGGTTTTATTTCTTCGTTCTCTTGTTTATTGCTCTCTCTCCCTCCATCCATCCCCCCTTCCTCCCTCCTTCCCTGCTACCCCCTTCTTCCTTCCTTCCTTCCTTCCTTCCTTTCTTTCTTTCTTTCTTTCTTTCTTTCTTTCCCTTTTCTTTCTTTCGTTCTTCCTTCCTTCCTTTATTGCTTCCCTTATTCCTTCCTTCCTTCCTTTCTTGCTTTCTCTTTTTACTTGCTCTTGTTTCTTCATTTGGTCGTTCGTTTGTTTGTGCGTTCCTATGTTCTTTCTTCCTTCCTTCCTTCCGTCCTTTCTTTCTTTCTGCCTTCCTGCCTGCCTTCCTTCCTTCCTTTCCTTCCTTCCTTCCTTCCTTCCTTCCTTCCTTCCTTCCTTCCTTCCTATCACCCGCTCACACTCACCCACCCACCCACCGCTTGCCCGCCCACCCACCCACCCACTCACTCACTCACTCACTCACTCACTCACTCACTCACTCACTCACTCACTCCCTCACTCACTCATTCTTTCACTCTCTCACTCTCTCACTGCCACCTCACTCTTCACTCTCACACTCTCCCACTCTGTTTCTTTGTCACTCATTCATTCATTCATTCATTCATTCATTCATTCATTCATTCATTCATTCATTCACGTAGTTATGCGCTTCACGCATTCCTTCATGCGTTTGGCGTCAGCACACTGCATACTCATGTTTGTCTCATGTCATGTCATTTCGATTCATAACAGAACCACTGACATGATCATGTCATGTCATTTGGTTTCATGCCAAGTTCATGTTAATTTCAGTTTATGTCATGTGTTTCATTCAATTCATTAGTTCGCTTGTTTGGCCAGCCATTTGTTCATGTGTAGGGTGTCGTTTCGCTACACTTCATGTTCATGGCATGTCCTTTCGTTTCATTTCATGTTCATGTTGAATTAGTGTCATGTCATTATTTCATTCAATTCGTTCGTTTGGGCGGTCGTTCGTACGGCATATCCGTCATTCGGTTGTTTCTTCCTTCATTGATGTTGTTTTGCATTTTCCGCCCCTCGACATGTTTTTTTTTGTTACGTTCTGTTCTGTTGTTTGCTTTCTTTTCTTCTGTTCTTTTTTTAAGCGTCTTTCTTGATTTCTGTTTGTTTTTAGTTTCTGTCTGTCTGTCACTGTTTGTCATTGTCTGTCCCTCGGTCCGTGTGGCTGGCTGGCTGGCTGGCTGGCTGTTTGGCTGCCTGTCTGTCTTTCCGTCTTTCTGTATTTCTGCCTTTCTCTTTTTTGGCTTTTCTGCTTTTCTGCTGTTCTGCCTTGCTGTCTCTCTGTCTTTCTGTCGGTCTGTCAGCCTGTCTGTCTCTGTTTCTCTGCGCTGTCTCTCTGTCTCTCCGTCCGTCCGTCTGTCTGAGTTTCTTTTTTCGTTGCTTCCGCTCCTGACTTTGGTTTCTCTGTTTGTTGGCGCCGTTGCTTGTTTCATTGTGGCTGCTTTGTTGCTGTTTGAGTGTTGTTTTCAGTCGAGTTTGTGTTGTGTTGCGCCTTGTCGTGTGCTGTGTGGTGTGTGGACGGTGGTGGTTGTAGCAATGACCTTGCTGTCTTTCCCCTGCTGGGCTGCGCCTTTTCCGGGGGGGGGGGGGGTTGTGAGGCTCTACTCCTGCCACGAACCGGAGCTCCGGATGCACAATCAGGAGTTCCTGGGGGACCATGGCACAGCGCTGTGCTGGGCCCAGGCTCCTCCTGAAGAACCCATGTGCTTGGGTGAGGTGGAGGAGGGGCCTTCCGGTCTAGAGCTGGCACCGTGCGGCTTCTCGGATAGCCAGGCAGGGTGTCAATCTGAGGTTCGGGAGATCCCTGTGTTGCGGTTGTGTTCGCTTCCTCGCCATTCACCCGCAGTGGGTTTCTGGTAGGCGCTCTTTGCCCGTGCCCACGGCGACGGCACTGTCCTGGTCCACCAGGACGCCTGTTTGCTGCCAGACCTGCAGCGCCAGCTCCCTGGGGGAACCTTCCCCCTGGTCTTCGGGCCCTGCAGCATGGCCTGGCAGGTGACATTTGGGAGGGCAGCAAGGGATTGGAGGAAAACATTTTGCATCATTCGATGGAGAGAAAGAAAGCAAGAAAGAAAGAGAGAGAGAGAGAGAGAGAGAGAGAGAGAGCGAGAGAGCCCTGCAGGAGGGCCATGAGCAGCTGAAACTGCTCGCCCCCGATCACCACCAGGCGCTTTGCCTCGCGGCAGAGGGCGGTTTCAGTGGCAGCGCTGCCACTGCGGTGGCGGCGCCGTGCGACCGCGGCAGCCTGCTGCAGCGCTTTGAGCTGGTGAAGCTCACGGACGAGCGGGTGGCGGTGAGGCGGATGTCCTACTGGATAGAAAGCGCCTTGGCCTTGGTCTCCGGAAGGTCTTTGGACATGTTGTGGTTGCATTATTTTTTGCTTCAGGGGAAGGAAGGCACAGGGTGGGAAGTCTTGCCCGTCGTGCAATATGCTGTGCGGAATTTGGTTCATTGGCAGACGGGCCCCAAGACATGTTGATTAGAGAGGCGAATTTTAGTAATCACGTACATTTGAGAGAGGCAGTGCAAGAACTGCTTTCCGTGTGCAACACCCCCTGGGTGGCACCAATCGCCCTTTGCAGGGTGCATCAGGTACTGCGCCGAAAGCATTTAAGCGCGCGGTGTTGACATTTGCAGCCAAAACTTTACCATTTCTTGCCAAGTTGCTTAAGCTGATGTATGATAGATCGTGGGGACAAGTTCCCGCTTCACGTGTTACATACATGAGGTATGGGCGTTGCCTCGCGACCAAGACGGTGATCACTTATTCAACTGATTCGACATGAAAGGCTTGTTCTCTCCAAACAGGTGGAATAGCATCGGGTGAGTGAGCTTGTTGAACCTGACGTTAAACAATGTGTCGCCGTGCTGCCCCTGTGAAGATGTTCTGCAACCGCCAGGCTGCCAACACACCTGTTTGCTGGTTTTGAACAGGAGGACGCTTTTCTGCGTGTAAGATTTGCTTTCGTGGCTTTTGTGGCTCGCTTTGTGCCTCTTGGTGGGTTTGCCGTTGGCCTCGTCAGCCCAAAGCCAACCCTAAATTCACCCTGTACTGTAACCCTGGATCTTCTCCAGACAACGCCTAAACCAGAATACCAACCCTAAACCCACCCCAAACCAACTCACCGTGAACCGCGAACCACCCCTAAACCCTGAACCCAACCGACTCACCCACACCAAAAAAACATCAAAAAACAAACAACAAACCAAAAACAAGACAAACAAACTAAACCAATCCTAAGCGAACCTAAACTGCCCCAAGCCCGCCCAAAACAAACCATTAGCCAACCGTAAACAATCCTACTAAACCCACCCGTTTTGCCCTCCAGCAAGAAACAGTTCACAAAGTCCAACAAAAGGAAACTTGAAACACATTTTTTTTGCGCACGTCCGAAACCCGAAAACCCCAAAGCCCACAACTCGCCAGGTGGCAAGAAGAGATATCCGGGCCTTTGCCTGGACCGCGCGGCGCCAAAGCGGCAGATGGTGGAGGCGGTGCCCTGCAGAGAGGCAATGGGCGCTTGGAGCACCCTGTGGGAGGAAGCGCTCGGGTCGGCTCGCCGCTCACATCGGTCGGACTCGGACGGGGAGGATCTGTTTGTGGCCGGGGCGGTGAAAAAAGTCGAGTGGCGATTTGGAGGGGCAAAGTCTGTCATGGGGCCCCCAGCTGGTGTGGAATCTGATTGAGCCTATTGAGCAAGGGGCTGTTCTTGCAGGGAGCTTGAGGTGCAAGATTTGAGATGAAATGAGTGCTCACATGTGCACTGGTGTCTGACAAGGCTGTTGGAGGTAGGTCATCTACTTTGCCATCCTAATGCGCTCCGCACATTCGGGCCAGGAGGTTCCACTGGAGAGGCAGCTTTACAACGTGCTGCACCCGCCGGACCACCCTGAAAGCGCGCCTGAGCGAGTCCCTAAGTAGCGGGTGTGCTTCCACTAAGCAGCGAATGGCCAACCGGGCCGCGAGCTTACTTCAGTTTATGGCCAGAAAGCCTAGCCATGCCCCAGCGCCCAAAAAGGATGCAAGTGCATTGGCGTGGAGGTGCTGAAGCGTGCCAGAGCCGGCAAATGTGCGGAGGGAAGCGGGCAGCATGGGGTCCTGTTGTCAAGTGATTGGTACTCATACTGGTAAGTTGCAAGGCAGAATCTGTTGAACAACTCAAACCACGCGCAGGAACTCGCAAGCATCTAGGGCACTGCCATGCCATGAAGCATGGGTCACGTGTTCACTTTGCATGTAGTTTCTCGGGAGAACGGGAGTTGGGCACTAAGTCCCTGCGCCAGAAGATTATAAATAAAGGGCATGATAAAGGCCTTGTAAGCTTGGCGAACTTTTGTGCACTTCCGACACTGCGCTTGCGCAGCAAGCTGGTTGACACACGTAGCTAGTAACTGGCAAGATAGTTGCCACGAAGTACTTGGCTGGCCAAGCAAACCATCTAGCTAACAGGTAGCCAACTATCTACCTATTTTTGACAAGCCAACTAGCTGGCTTGACTAACTCGCTGGCAAACGAACCAACCAGCCAACTGACTTGCTGACCACATAACGTACGCAGGGTTTTGCATGTTCTTTTCCGGGTGTCGTTTGCTCACATGTTTTTCACCGAAGATCTTTGAGCTGACCGTCGGGTTGCGCAACTGGATGCCACTTCATGCCACGTTTGAAGAGGGCGATGAGGCTGCTTGCGGGATGCTGGCATGGTTTGAGTTTGACAGTGTGACTTGCGCCAGCATTTTTACTCATGGGGCAGGCCTGATGGTTTGTAGTAGTGCCCATTACGCATGTACTTTTATGGGGCTTGTTGGCTTGGCTGGCCATCAAACACCAATCAAGAGCACACAGTTCGATCCCACACCACACTACACGCGGCAGAAGCCTTTTTAACCAGTCAAGGCTTGATCTCGCGGACGAGCATGTGTTCACGGAGAAGATGCACTAGCTGAGGCGAGGGCGTTGTTGTCCGAAAAGGTGGGGGTGCTCGTCTCCATCTCTTGTTTGTGGCAGACTGCAGGGATGACTGACCTGCGACAAGCGGAGTTGGATTGAGGCTGTTGCCCTGTAACGTTTGTGTGTGTGTGTGTGTGCGTGTTTGTTGCGTGATGCTGAATCTGGCACCATGCCTCAGCACTCCAGCTATCATAAGATGGCGCGGAAAGAGAAAGAGAGAGAGAGAGAGAGAAAGAGAGAGAGAGAGAGAGAGAGAGAGAGCGAGAGGGAGAGAGTTTTTTGGGATTGCAAGTGCAGAAAATGCCTCCAGATTCCTAGTGTTTTTCAAACAAGAAGATGTCACATCCGGGAAAAGGAGCGTGAAGTCATTCCTGCAGAATTGCGGAAGCTGCACTCTTTTGCCTTGAGCCTGCGGGCATGCCAAAACCGGCAAGAGTGATAGGAACCACTAAGCTGAGAAAGGGCAATGAAATGAAGCTGCACCGCGCTGGCTTTTCACTACAATCGGTGAAGCATGGGTTCGGCGAAGAATGCCCAAAATAACATGGGCCAAGCTGGGCTGAGGACCTTCAACTATGTTTTCCAGAAGGCAAGTGGTTCCAGAGAATGCCGTGATGCATTCACCAAATGACAGGCACACACACAAGCACATGAGAAAGTGGAGGAAAACAAAGGCTAGAACAGATAAGCAACGTGCAACAGGATCATGCAATGCAGGGATTCCTCAAGGGCTGTTTGTTCGCCCTTTTGGAACACATGTGGCAGAGTTTTCAGGATGCCTCGCGATCCGTCCAGAGGAACCATGGGGGGTCGGTTGACGCCATAAGCCCTGAGGCCTAAAGCCTCAGACCACCAGTCCACGTTGGCGGCGTCTTCCGGCGCGAGCCGCCAATGGAGATGGTGAAGCCCACCATAGACACGGCCGAGGCGCCGGTGGGTAAAAAAGGACGTGCCCAAAACCGGGGAATCTTTAATTCCCCTGAGCTTGGACATTGACGTGTCAGCGAGTTTTTGATTTGCGAGCGCCGCGAGGAAGGCACAGCTTGGGCCTCAGTTGCAGAGATGTTCGTTGGGCATCCAAGCAACTAACGATCGACGAAGGGGAGGGGGTTACACCAGGTGTGCCATATCAGTAACATCAGGCGAATGTTCACAGCAATGGGCAAAAAAGGAAGCAATTGCTTGTGGCCCAAGCCTCGTTCAGTTAGGGAATGGGGTTTCGTGAAATTAAAAATGCCGCTTGCATGGGCCTTCTTTTGGCGTTTGCTTCGAATTTGTTTTATTTAGTTTGAGTCCTCCAAAGGAGTGGTCATTTTGGCACATGTGAACATTGTTTTGGGCTGAACTAAGACGTGCTCCCACTGATTTCGACACGTCGCAACAGAAAGCTAGTTGCAAGATACCCCACTAGCACCAACTTGACGTTTTCCATCGCAATGCCACCCTTTTCCCATAATGCCAGCAGACGTACCAAGATTAGACACTTGGACTGCGGCGGTTCATCACTGCGCTTCCATAGCGCACCCATCATAACCTTGTCGGGGGAGGTTGCACAACTTTGCTGGCAACAGCAGGGAGAGCTGGACGAAGGACGACACTTAGCCCATGAACGAGGGTGTCTTTTGAGGGTAAGCCTATTTGTTTTCGGAGGCAAACCAAAGGAAAAGATACGAACCCCAATTACCTTTGCTTGGGCAGGCCGTGGTGCGAGCAGCACCCACACCGCCTCTGGGCCGGCTGGACTTTGCATCCTCCCTGGCTTCGGCTCATGGGCTGCACAACATATCCGGCGATGTCATGCAAAGGGCCGGATAGGCATTGCGGGTCCAGGGCTCAAGTTTATGTTTTTTTTTTTCTTTTTTTTTTTTTTCACTCGGAGCCCTCGACAGCGCGTGTTCAAGGGACGCATCCCTTTGGGCATGCACTCCTTGCGGTGAGGGCAATCGGGTAGATGGATTGTTGGCTTTTGCCTGCTGGCAAAATCTGCTGGCTGAATCAACTTGCTGATAGGTAAACCTGTTCCTGTCTTCTTTAGGTTTAGGGCTTGCTTCGAGCACGCTGCTCCGCTGCTGGGAATTGGGCTGCGGGGGTCTGATCTGGTAGGGCCTCTGAGTGACCTGAGGCAGCGGTGCGACACTCCGGGCAAATGCCCCGTGCCGGGCACAGCTGCTTTGACAGCGAGGACCGCTGCTCAGCGCGTATGTGTGTGTGTGTGTGTGGCCCCCCTGTTTCTAAGGGGCTTCCGCTGTCCTTTTGTGTTTGGAGTCGGGTGCCACCATGGTGAACAACGGCGTGAAGTACTGACAGCTGGGTGTTGGCACTCCGTTGAAGAGGATGCCCGCTGTCGGGAACGACGACCTGAGTGAGCCATGCCGAAACTCCAACCTGATTCCGTGCATGCGTCCTCCTACGTTTCGGGGTGCACCTTCGCAGTTTTGCCGTCTCATATCAAGTGTGTTTAGGCACTGCGTCCGGGCTTCGGTCAGTGTCTTGATCCCTGTTGTGGGCATCTGTTCCGACTCATGCAAAGACATTTTCTACAGACAGTTACCGGACCTTGTCGCTCGTGACGATTGACTGTTCCAGCTGACCTTCTCAATACAGGCTTGGACTTCTCCCAGACGTTTCGGCACCCCTGACTGTTTCCGTGGACCTCTTTCAGTCAAACAAACTGTTTGACTAACCACCAGACCGCCCGACACATCAGGCAAGAACTCATGACGCCGTCAGCTTGCTCTTGGCTCGCAATTGTCGGCAACAGATGCCACGCCCCAACGCAGGTCCGATGTCGAACTCAGCAGGCCCTATGTCGAAGGCCACCAATCACACAGCGGGTCCTACGCCACCCAGATCACCAGTGAGCCAGACAGCATCACCGAGCAGGAGTACACTTGTGGCACCGACCTTCAGCACTACTGGCACGTCGTCCGGCATCTCGATGGCCGCAAAACCTTCGGCTCCATCCCCTGCTCCTCGTGTCGCAACGGTGCCTATTTCTGCTTCTCCCACCCGGCCTGGATCGGCTGCTGGCCCACTGCCGCGAATCCTGGTGAAGGCGCGCCCAGCAACCCCAACGGCTCCAGCTACAGCATGAGCATGTCCGACTCCGGCTACCGCACCGACCTCTACGGCAACCCTGCGGACTCCCACGGTCTCTCAGCAAGCGGCAGTATCAGGTCCTACACCTCCACAGCCAGCTACAACGCCCTCGGCTCCCAACCAGGCCACCCCAGTGCCAAAGCCAGTGACCACCACGACTAAAGCACCGACTCCGACACCTACATCGTCGGCATCTCATCCATCCAGTCAGATGCTGCCACCGGCCAACCCACCGGCAAGACCAGGCCGCACAACGGAGGGCGAACGATCACGTTCCCACAAAGCTTCCCCCTACTCCAAGTCAGTGCCCCCACAACGCCGAAGTCGAGCTCGCTCCAGGACGCCACCACCGATCTCCCGAAGGGACGCACGGTCGGATCGCTCATCCACGGCAGCAGCAGCTCTCGCCACTCCCGCGACTTCAGCGACTACAGCTTCATCCCAGCGACCGAGAAGCAACAGGTCCCCACTTCCGCGCAGCAGAAGCAGTGCTCCATCGGCTCCAGCTCCTAAGACCACCGGTGCTTATCCAGTTACGGAGTTGTCCTCGAGAAGCACTCAGCTACGTCCGAATCCACGGGCATACCCACCGCTGATCCTGCTCCCCAACCCACAAGGAGAGAACTTCAGGCACTTGCCTCGCAGCACGTCCACGACGGGATCCCGGTTAATCAGGAGCAGCTGGAGTATGTGGCCGCTACCCTAAATGCAGCAGGAATACCGTCTCAGCACTCCACCTTGGCCTATGCAAAGGTCAATTCGGACCATCACTACTCCAAGATCACTCCACACTGGTTCATGCTGACCGTCCCCTACCTCGGCGCCACAGTTAGGCTCAAAGAACCAACGAAGACGCGACCCATGCTGCTCTGG